GGGTTCCCAAACTCCGCCCTCAGGAAGGAGTTTGGGAATGGAGAAGTGGGGGGGGATCCCTGGATGGGCTGAGGAGGGTCCCGAGGGATCCCCGGGGGAGGTGAGGAGGTCCTGAGGGATCCCTGTGGGGGCTGAGGAGGGTCCCGAGGGATCGCTGTGGGGACTGAGGAGATTCCCGAGGGGTTCCTGGATGGGCTGAGATAGTTCCCGAGAGATCCCTGTAGGGGCTGAGGAGGGTCCCGAGGGATCCTTAGAAGGGTTGAGGTGGATCCTGAGGGATCCTCGGGGGAGCTGAAGAGATTCCCGAGGGATCCCTTGATGGGCTGAGGTGGATCCCCAGGGGAGCTGAAGTGATTCCCGAGGAATCCCTAGAGGGGCTGAGGTGGGTCCCGAGGGATCCTCGGCAGGGCTGAGGAGAGTTCCGAGGGATCCCCGTCGGGGTGAGGAGGGTCCTGAGGGATTCCTGGAAGGGCTGAAGTGGTTCTCGAGGGATCCTTGGGGGGAGCCGAGGTGGATCCCGAGGGATCCCTGTGGGGGCTGAGGAGGGTCCCGAGGGATTCCCAGGGGAACTGAAGAGATTCCCGAGAGATCCCTGAATGGGCTGAGGTGGATCCCCAGGGGAGCTGAAGTGATTCCCGAGGAATCCCTATGGGGGCTGAGGAGGGTCCCGAGGGATTCTTGGAAGGGCTGAGGTTGATCCTGAGGGATCCCCAGGGGGAGCTGAGGTGGATCCCGAGGGTTCCCTGGGGGGACCTGAAGAGATTCCTGAAAGGTCCCTGGATGGGCTGAGATGGTTCCCGAGGGATTCTTGGCAGGACTGAGGTGGATCCCGAGGATCCCCGGGTGCTGAGGAGAGTTCTGAGGGTGCCCTGGTCCCCTTCCGAGGGAGAGGGCACAGCTTATCCCATCCTTGTGGGGGCGAGGCTGTTCTGGGCTGTATTTCCCAGTGGAATGTCCCCTCCATGCTCCGTGTCCTGCTGGAATGTCCCCTCCGTGTCCCCATGGAATTCCCGGGTGGGACTGGGCCAGGCCTGCCAGAGGCACAGCTCATCCCTGGGTCCCAGCATGGAAGGGAGGGAATGCTGGGACTGGAGTTAAATTCCCGGTCAGGGAAAGGGGGTAAAACAGTAAAAAGGATTTCCTCTTTAGCAGAGTTTTACTGTGTTTGGTCTGTGTTTTGGAGCTCTTGGAAGTGATGATGGGAGCTCAGAGGAGGCACCAGCTGCCCTCACTGAAGGGTGAGGAGCAGATTGAGATGAGATACTGGGGAGAAACTGGATACTGGGCAGAAATCCCTCCTTGTGAGGGTGGGGATGCCCTGGCACAGGGTGCCCAGAGCAGCTGTGGCTGCCCCATCCCTGGGAGTGCCCCAGGCCAGGCTGGACAGGGCTTGGAGCACCCTGGGACAGTGGAAAGTGTCCCTGCACGTGGCAGGGGATGGACTGGGATGAGCTTCTAACCCAAACCAGTGTAGGACTCTGGAGTTCTGTTCAAGTCCTCACAATTTTGTAAGCACCACTCAGGGCTGACGAACCATCTGCTCGTGCTGATTTCTCTTTTCAAGGTCTGGGTATATATTTTTGGTTATCCTGATTTTTCTGTCTCGGAGGAGACAGATGGAGTCTGTGAAGATCTGAACAGCAGCACTGAGTGGGTCCTGTTAGAGCAGGATGTGTGAAGGAACCATCCTGCTCCAGGAATCCTTTTTCCTTTCCCATTTAGCCCTTTTTCTTCACTCCTTGCAGGAGCTGCTCTGAGCTTTGTACTTGCTGTGTCCATGGAAAAGCTCTTGGCTGTGTGTCAGGAGAATCCTTTGTTCTCCAGGTGTTTGTTTTGGTGTTAATAAGCAACACTTGCACATTCCCTGGAACAGAATAATTCTTTCCTCATATTTTTGGATGACATTTTTTCTAAAACACCCAAGGCTTGGAGGCTGAGATTGGTCTTATCAGCAAACATGGAATGGGGGGAGTATCCCAAAAATCATACAGTCATCAGCAGGAATGTGTTAAAAACCAGGTGAGGCTTTAGAACTCAGAGCAGCAGCTGATTTTGGGTCGCTGTTGGCTTTGGATGGCAGGAAAATTCCTGCATTTCCTCCTGTGTGTGCAGGTGAGGAGCTTTTTAGGAGCAATTGGAACCTTGATCTGGACCTCCCTCTCCATCTACCTGATCCCAGGTCAGGTTTGCACCTGGCTGTCACTTGCAAATCTCTCTCAGGTATTTCCTGGTTTTAAAGCTGAGTGTGGTAATTCCTGGGGATACCAGGAAATGCTGCAATCTCCCCACACACATCCTTCTTGATTCCCAGAAGGAATTATCTGCAGTGGGACCATCCTTTCACTGAGAGAAGCAGAAAAGTCCATGAGGATTTTTCCACTGTTTGAAGAAGGGTTTTTTTATCCCACATAAAACTGTCAGGATCTGCAGAGTCTCTTGTGAGTGGTTTCTTCCCCTCTCGGAGAGGGTTGGTGAAAAAAAAATGGATTTATCCTGAAGTTTGGAGTCCTCACATCCTTCCCAGCTCCATGAAAAGAGCTGCCCCAGTTTGAGGTGTGCAGAGCTGTGATGAGCAGGGAAAGGGCTGTGCCTGTGCAGAGGGAGCTGGATCCTTCCCAGCTGGGCTGTGAGGAGGCTGGGATGGACCCAGAATCTGGAGGGTTGGAAGAGGAGAGGGAGAAAATGCAAATACAGTGAAATTTGGGAGAGGAGATGTGAAATACTGCCCAAATTGGGAGGTGTGGAAGAGGAATTAAATACACATGAAAATCAGGAGATATGTGGGAGAGGAGAGGAAGTAAAATACACCTGAAATCAGGAGGTTTAGGAAAAGAGAGAGGAAGGTAGAGACACTGAAAATTGGGAGATTTGG